AGACTAACCACGCGGCTTGTAGGAAATAAAGACTAGTCACGCGGCTTGTAGGTCATACTGGCTAATCACGCGGCTTGTAGGTCACGAAGAACTCGGGAGGCTGCTGCACAACCGCGAACCTGGTCTCCAGCGAGAGTTTCTGCCCTGGGACGGGCGGTGAAGCTGAAACGCTGCAAGCAGGCAGGTGAAGAGCATGAACATCTCCATGCGCGCCAGCGTCTCTCCTAGGCAAACCTCTTCCCGATGCCGAACGGGATGAGCCGCTCATCACTGGCGCACGCTACCGTCCGGCGTGCAGGAACCGGTCGGGCCTGAACGCCTCCGGGTCACCCCAGTACGCCGGGTCCATGTGCACCATGTTCAGGTGCATGATCACCGTGGTGCCCTGGGGGATGGTGTAGCCGCGGAACGAGAGGTCGCTCAGTGCATTGTGCGGCACTGCGTGAGGGAGGACGTTGGAACGCCGCATCACCTCCATCAGCGTGGCTTCAGTGTACGGCATGCGCGTGCGGGTCCGCCGTAGGTTGGCGGACTTCCGCCAAGAACAGCGTCGATCTCGCGCTGCGCGCGACTCTGCACCTCCGGATACTTGACCATGAAGAGCAACGCCCAGCTCAGAGAGGTGGACGTCGTCTCCATGCCAGCGATGAACAAGTCCATGCCGATGATGGACAAGTTGCGTTCTGTGAAGAGGCGAGCCTCAGCGTCTGGCTTCTCCATCTCCAGCAGGAACTGGTCGATGAAGTCGCGTGGGCTGGACCGGTCCAGCGTCTGCCGATGCTCGTGGACCACCTCGTGAACATGCCGACCGTGGTCTCGCGATGTCGGATCAGCGGCGCGTAGCCGCTCCACTCAGGGGCGATGTGACGCAGCCACGGCGCCATGTTCATCGGGTTACCCGGACCAATAAGGGTGAAGAATTCGTTGACCGTCGCGATGTAGTGTTGGGCCTTGGGATCACTACTCTCCAGCCGCTTGTCGGCGACCATTCTCCAGAGTATGTTGAGCACCGTCAGGTTGAAGCGGAAGTTGACCTTCATCGGTGAGTCAACGTCACGCCTCATCTCCTGGGAGAGCTCTTCGAATTCGTTCAAAACTGTCGACTCCATGGAGTTTTTCCCGAAGCCCAGATCTCTGAGATGTCTCAGTACAAAGCGCCTGTGCTCCATCCAGGTGGGGCCTTCGCTGAAGGCTATACCAAGCTTTTGTTGGAAGCTGCGGAGCAGCACGACAAAACTGTTCGGTCTTCCAGACAGTTCTTGCGTCGCGCAGGCCTCTTTGATGTCTTCAAAGTCGCAAATGTGCACAATCTTGTCACCAGTGGGAAGGACAAAGCCAAAAATATCTCCAAACTTGTGCCGACAATGCTCCGTGCTCGCTATAATCTTGCCCCGAATCCACTCAATCACCGTCCAAATATTGCCAAAGATGAGAAATGTTGGAGGGGCCTGAAAAAGGGACGCATTTAAAGTTAATGTTGTAAACGTTATACGTCATATATAGACGCTATATATATACGTTCTATATAGGACGCATACAAGTTAACGCAAAAAAAAAAATGTTTTAAGCCCAAACCAGTCTCACTTAGAACCGTTCGGGGGTACGTTTCAGTGCCCACATCACTACTGTTATCGCTCAGTACACACATGACTGTGCTCTAGTGCAGACGTCTGTCTTATAAACACACAATGTTGAAATATCTAAAGTGCCTGTCTGAAAAATATAAGCGTAAAAGTCTCTAACATATCATTCTGAAAAAATATAAGTGTAAGAATCTCTAAAATGTCTCATCAAAATGGTATGCCGAGGGGAGTTCCGAGACATGCTTGGATTTACAAACAAGAGGGCCAGACTAGTTCGCCCACACATTGTTAAGGCGATGCACGGACAGTTAATTTGAGGTAGGGGTGGGGATGGGAGGGGGGGGGGGGGGGCGATAGTATGTTATGTGCTCAGGTAGTTACATTCTGTAGTGAAGGTCTCTGGTTTGGGGTTCCTGTTGAGCCCCGACCCACGGTGCTTATAAGACCCCTGACGTGGCACAAGATCGTTAGTGACAACCCCGCTGCCTTACCTAAGAAATACGCGGTCCTGCCCACTTTCATCTGCCTCACCACCGCTGCAGATGTAAATAAGTTACTTCTCGGGGACTCGGACGCGCGAGCGTGTCGTTTTTGTAGCTGCGTTTGACTACTCGACAGATCCAAAACACATCGTGGATATTCTTGTGTCGGTTTGCTATGGGCAGGACAAATAAGGGCCTTCGTTTGAAGGGGACGAAGTAGGTGAGGCGGGTTAGGATGTAAAGTTATCAGGGTAGGGCAAGGAAGAGTATGAAATAGGATGGCTAACAAACGAAAAATAGGACGATGATTAAAACTAAAACTTCTGCCAGTTAAGGTGGGATTTTCGGCCGGTTAAGGTACCGCGCTCAACAAAGCCATCCATGGCTAAGGTAAGGATAACAAAACATATATAATACAACGGTGAATGAAGTATACGTCAGCCCCCCCCCCCCCACCCAATTCCCCAGGACAGGGTTTGTGGACGAGAGCGGCATGGTGGGAATGGGGTATACGCCATGTTGGCTGTGCGGAAATCTGCTACTAACAAGGCAACAAACGAAATCGCTTTTGTCCATTTTCCAGTGAATGGCCAAAGCGTCATTTGCAAAAATAAACAATTGGTTGGAATTTTGCGGAGGACTGCAACGCTGCGGTGTCGTGAACTTAGCACGAAAGATGCACGAGCACCGTTGGTAGCGTGTAATAGACTGTATCAGATGCTTAACTTCAGTATGTCTTATATTTTAATCTCTTTCCGAGATAATATTTCGGCTTGCTGTATGTGCATGCAGGAATATAGTTCAAATCCGGGTTTTGTCTAGAAAGAACTAATGTAATGTCACCAATATTGCATATAAAACAACTTCCCGATGGCCCCAGCCAATCTAAGCATTTTGTGTTTAGATAAGGGCGCCAGATATAAGAAAAGGAAAATTCCACGCTCCCATTCCCAGGCGAGTGTATATTAGACATCTTCCTGTGCGTTGGGCATAAGAAGGGATCCCTCTTTCCCATCATTCTTCATCCTTGGACGCGGAGTGGGGATAAACGCTGGATCATCGTGTGTTATTTACGAGCGACTGGCACACGGAAGATGGTTGGGCCGTGGTTCCTTGCGCTTGCTATAATCAGCAGTAAACAAGAGGATAATGCGAGAATGCGTGTGGTTTGGCCGTGCTCGAAAACACAAGATAAGCAGTTTCAACACGGCCAACTACATCGGAGGCGCCCTCCAAATCTGCGCCGTGGTTGTACTGTCGTTGCATATGTGTAATCTATAAAAATTCATACATTTAATAGTAATGAGGAGTCAGTACCGCGGCAAGAAATCGGACAAAGTTTGATAGAAGGTGGCGTATGCTCACGGCTTGGATAAATCGATGACTTCGAGGGTAACTGGTTGGTTGGGCCGTCTTGTACTGGAGTTTTTTCAGCACAAGCGTCAGGAATGGCTTAGGTCAGCAAGACTGGATTAGAGCTGGTTTAATGGCTGGATGTCAGGTGTTGGAGTAGTAAATGTTCCATGTGTGCTACATTTCCTCTCACGTAAAAAGTGAAATATAAAGGGCCGGCAGGCTGCACTTCAAGTGAGTATCCTCCGGAACTCCGTTGCATTGGTAGCCGGCAGGTGGTGGATGCGTGCGATTTTTTTCTTTTGGAAAATATGTCCTCTGTGGTTTATTGAGCAGCGTTTGATTTCCATTTTACAGAAAAAAATAGGTAGAAATGGCAAGTTAGGTTGAACTGATTGGATTCTGGAAGTTCATTCACGACCAGTTTTTATCCTGCCGATGGCTTAGTTTTTACCCCTTACGTCAGAAGCGAGGTACTTAATGGCACATCAACCAGAGCCAGAGAATGTTGAGCAACAAAATTTTCGCCGTGCCTCTCCATGAGCGCACACTTGTGCACCTACCTTCAAACGCCCAGTGTCACCCGCAGGGGCGCGGAAACTACGCTCAGTGGGGCTCCTAAATTAGATAGCGTGCTGCCTACAGACCCGGATGGGTCCTTTACAGACCAGGATGTGTTCTCTGTAGGTCAGAAATCGTCCTCTTCAGGCCGGAATGAGCCTTCACGGTCAGAAAACGACCCTATTCAGATGAGAATGGCTCGCTACAGGCCAGAATGGGCTCTCTACAGGCCAGAATAGGAACTCTACAGTTAATTATAGGCTATCTAGAAGCCAGGACGGGGCCTCTACATGCCAAAATGGGCGCACTATAGGTCAGAATGAGCCCTCTGCAGGACAAAGTAGGTCTTCAACAGTCAATAATAAGCCCCAGCAGGTCTTCATGGGCCCATTAGGCACTGCTGGTCGGAGCGGGGCCTATTTGGGTCAGAATGGGCGCTCGTCATGCCAGATTGGATTCTTAACTGAATGGACTCTTGGGGCAGAAAGGACTCTTCGCAAGACTGAATGAGCCCTCCTACATGCCAGAATGCGCTCTTCTAGCCAAAAATTTGCCTTCTGCACCTCAGAACGGCCCCTTTATGGGCCAGAATGAGCCCTCCACAGTCAATAAGGGGTCATTTACAGATCAGAGTGGGCCTGTTTAGGCCAGAATGAGCACTTAACAGTCAATAATGGGCCACGTTCTGGTCAGAACTGGCCCCTACAGCCTCAAAATTGACTTTTTTGGTCAGAAGAAACCCTGATCGGCTATAATGAGCCATTGACAGCTCAGGATGGACTTTTGCAGAGTTACATAATCCCTCAACAGCTTGGAATAGACCCTTAACATACCAGAGCGGTCACTTAACATAAAAGACTTGGCCCCCCAAAGATCCTCCAAGTTGGGGGGGGGGGGGGGCGCCCCCAATCTTTCAAGTACAGAGGGGGAGCAAGCTGCTTCCACTGCCCCCCCCCCCTCCCTCCTCCCCTCCAGTTGCCGCGTTCTTGGTCGCTCAAGCTCTGTTGGCCTAAATACGTACCCGGCGGGAAGTTAGGTGGTCTCTGCGGCCTCCGAATCCACAAGAACGCCGTCACCAGCAGCAGGAACATAGCGAGAGCCCACATGGCCGCGAGCACAGGCCGCGCCGCCGGAACCCACTCTGACAACGACCCCTCAGCGTGCGCAGCGATTCACGACTCTTCGATGATGTCGTGGCGCGCTCTCCGGGGCCCCGGTCCCACGCAGGGACAATCCGCCGACCTTGGACCGTAGACGCTGCCAGGGAGCGTGCTGCCAGACCGAGAATTAATATTTATCAGGCGACCACTGGCGTCGCCACGCGCGCGAAACTCGCCATAGCTTTGGCGGTTTTTGCAGATCTGGTGCTAATCTCATACTGCTCCATCATATAAGTTTGGACGTGGGCTATCTCGAGCTATTTCCATCACCAGATTATAATTGGGCTGGTCACGGGAGGTTTGTAATTTAATGGCTTTAGAGCTAGGAACTTATGCGAACTGAATTCACTGGGCATTGTGTGTAAGTTTTCCTTTTCCTGGTACCTTACGGCCCGGTTAAACGTCTTAGTTAGTTAGCAGAAGCGTCAGCAGGTCGGAATAAAGGACAGCCCTCAGCTTTGCTCTGAGGCCGAGCGTGCCTCTATCAGAGTGCCACACTTTGTCAGAGTGCCAAGGGCTCGGGCCGGTGCCAATCCACGGCCGGTCCGCCGAACCCAGTCGACACTGTTCGTTCGCGTGGGTCCGCTCGAAAGCCTCCAGGGCGCATCGTTCTCACAAGGGCAGCTGCCATCCACGACTGGCATACAACGTCTGGTGGCCACCGCTTGTCAGCCATTCCCAGCGATCCCTTTCTCGGACTCTGAGGCGGGGTTTGAGCGTGTGTCGAAAACATAGATTGTTGTCCCGGTTCAGACTTGACCCTTGACACGTTTTGTGAGCCCGTTTCTGAGCCCATTTCTCATATTTTTCATGAGTCAGATTCTGAGTGAAGTTCTTTGAGGTTGAGTTTGGTCCGAGTCTGAGCGCTTAAGCCTGTCACCGAGTGTATTAGTTAAATTTGGAATCACAAATGACAATGTTAATCAGGTGTTCAAGTGATAGTGACAAAGATTATCAAAAAGACATATAACGGCACAATTTTCAGCTGTAAAAAAGGGAAGCAGACCTGCACACAACTCAGCGTCATCTAGCCAGCCCCCTCCTGCCATCTTGCTGAGGCAGCACTGGAATCGCTATTAAATTCTAAGCATTTGCTGATATCCCTCGCAAAATTGCAGTTACCGAAGTGAAATCGTGCAAAACGAGCTGAAGCTAAAAGTCATCGTACATGAGCCATCACAGGGATTGATTTCATAGAGACGTAGACTGCCTGCAGGCAGCCGACCTTAAGACACTTGTATGCAAATTTCGCACGCTAAATTTTAAACTTTAAGTTATTTAAATAATTTACAAAGACAGCTTCCGCCGTAAATGTGCCTCATTGACACGTCTCTTGTCGCCACGGCCCGAAGGGGTTAAGTTTCATGTAATGGATTCGGGGAGTCTGTATTGTTCTGTGAGGTTCATCAGTCAGCAATACCTAAGCCACTTGTGGTCCAGTTATAGTGTTCAATCTAATTGATCGAATCCAATTCAATGCCAATGTACTTGATGAGTCAAGTGATCGATACCAACATACAACATAATTGCCCGAGTCCCGTATAAGTTTAACGAGGCTACACCTCAATCCTAATTGCAGTTGTTGACAGATATGGCCATGCCAGTCCCCGGATTGCTCCACAATCCGTGGATTACTGCACAATCCGTGGACTGATCTGATCCATGGATTGATGTACAATCCGCAGATTGATTAAATCGGTAGATTCATCCATAATTCGATTCCCAATCCGCGGATTGTTCCGATCTATGGATTGATTCACAATCAACAGGTTGATTAAATTGGCAGGCTGCTCCACAATCCGTGGATTTATCCACAATCCGCGACGTTATTCACAACTCGTGGATTGATCCACAATCCGTGCATTGATTCACAATCCGTGCATTGATTCACAATCCGCGGGTTGATCCAATCCGCGGATTGATGCAATCCGCGAAGTGCTCTAGATCGAGCTGAACTCTCCGAGAAAACGACGGGAATACTGGGAAGGGGAGCTGGGAAGCGACCATGTACTCATAGTTGCCGGGTTCTGAAAGTCATCATTTGGGTATGCGTGGGTTTACCTTAAGGAAACAGAGAGGCCAGGTCAGGCTTCATGTGAATAATTACATTTAAAATAGGTGGCATCTTTCCTCTAATGGGTGGCATGGTGTCGTTGGAGCTCTTATTGACATCAGCATTCCATGTGAAGACTATTCGATTGTTAGCGAAAATATAATAAAGCACAGGTGCAGGCAAAAAACAAAGCCAAACATCAATATTATTACAATAAGTTGCGGAGGCCGGTCACTTGCCTAGCTTGTCAGTGAAACTGATAGTTGAATATTATCGTAGCGCTATGGAGCAAAGAATGAAGAGTTTATTGGATATTGTAATTTTGTGACGAAGATCGCAAGCTAGATGACGTCCAACATTTAAAATTGATACGCAAAGGAGAGTGCGATCTTTTCCATGGACAGGTGCGATGAGGCGATCGGTGACAGATATCAGCACGGCTTGTTTCGAGTTCCGGGGGAGGGGGAGGGAAGTGCAAACGCACCAGGTCTAAGATATTAGATAATTACACACAATAAGCCTGATAACGCTCCACTTGGGATGGGCAGTGGCGCATATTCAAGCACCACGGAAGTCGAAGCTGGTGAGAGACGTGTTGAACATGTCGCAGAGGGCGTCATCAATGACATCAAAACAGACATTGATGCTAGGGGCGCAAAGGCCTTCTATACCGCAAGCTAACACGCTGCGGATGTTGCAGCCTCAACTCGAGCCAACTGACAAAAGCAGCTGAGAAGGGGTACGCCACCCCGCGTGGAAGCTGAGAAGGGGCACGCCACCCCGTGTGGAAGCTGAGAAGAGGCACGCCACTTCGCGTGGAAGCCCGCGATGCAAGTCGGGTATCAGTCAGGAGGCCGATAAAACCTGATTTGGTACTAGCGCCACCTATTCTATGCCCTGGGATTATCCTCCAACACGCCTCAAGCCTGCCACTTTTCACACTAGTGGTACTTAGTGGATTAAGTATGACATAGATGTCATGAAGAACACCAGCAAAGCATTGCAAACAGCGTTAAAGCTGACTTTTTAGTAAGGGACATTATTTTTTTATGTAAAACCCAAAGCTGTGCAGTTATGAGAATGCTCTAGCAGTCCGGGTTAGGTTCGAATTGGTATTGCTAACACATCATTACGATGTTCATTTGCAATTTACGTGGCTTTTGCGTGGGAGATACGGATTTATTAGTTGAGTGTTCCTGGTGCTGAAACATCTCTCAAACAATTACTTGCATAAGCATGCCGAAGGCTACACGGTCGCGCACAAAACATTTTGTGATAGGCCGCCCGGCTCCACTGTCCCACCACCAACTGCCGACTACGGGAAAGCCTTGAGCTCCAACAGGTGGCTAAGCGAATCGAAGAGGAATCTTACTAATACCACCTTCAAAACCGCGTTGGCAGAAATCAGGGTACTGTGGACCAACGAAGCAATCCCTGTTCACGATCCAAAACACGTGACAAAACTGATCGAGAGAGATTGATATCATCCCAACAGAGCTATAAGCAAGAAATGAACGAAAGAAAGAGAGTGATCCATCAACGCCGCCACCGCGAAATTCAACAAGCTTCTTGATGTCGTGATATGCAAGTGCAAACTTCAGTGCAGCTTTCCATGCCCAGTTGCCTGCACAGTGTAACAAGACGGGGTTGCCATGGAGGACCAGTGCAGGCAACGGAAGCTTACCCGGGGTCACATGACCGGGATACGATTGTGACTAGAGAGATTCGCGAGATGCGGAGGATGGCGAGACAACTCCAGAGGTGTGGCTCGGCCGCCAGTCAGGCGGTGTCTGCTGCTGAACCTGAGTCGCCTTCTCCGCCGACTGCTGAACCCGCGCTAGCTGCTAGTGCTGCCGCGAGCCTGCTCCGGGACCAAGTGGTCTTAGCGCTGGCGAGTCAGCCGAGAGCACGGATTCTTACACGGTTCCCTACATGGTAGAAGGTGGCGACGCCGCCGATTGTTCATTCCGGTTGAGACCATTGCCACTGTGGATTATAACGTTAACGATCTGACTACCACCGCACAGGCGGTTGACACCCACGGTGGCTCGAACCGGGTCGCTGCTGCCATCATCAACGCCTTTCAACAAGACAGCAGAGACGGACAGGCTACTTGAAATCAAATATCGTAGATCCTAAGATCTGCTGCACAGGAGACAGATCGAGAAAGGGGACGGCTCGTTAAAACTTCGAAGCCATCTATAAGTCAGGTTTGACCATCCTGTACTCCGACGGCCGCGAAGGCAGGAGCTACATGAGCCGCACGGAGCCAGACGAATGCCGTCGAAAAGCACGTGGTTGTCATCACTGAGCCAGGCAGCCGCCAAGTGACTCATTCTACATCCGAGTTCGGCCGCGCCCTGCACTTGTTCAACGAGCTACACTCCGTGATCCCGCAGTGCGATGGACACATCAATGTGCTCGGCTGCGAGGGCACAGCCGTCAACACCAAACGATAGGCGACGTGTTCCGGCTGTTTGAGCTGGCCACCGAGTCACCCGTTCGCTGGTTCATTTGTCAGCTACGCGGCAACGAGGTGAACCTCCTGCATCTGCTGCTGAGCCTGGATGGCACGGCCACGGGACATTTTTTTCACCCATCGGCAAGACCTGTGCCGGAGAGGTCTAGGAGAGCGACGTTGTGGTGTTCAAGCCTGGGTCGGGGCCCGTGCCAAACCTGCCGGTCGACCTGATTCAGCAGCAGAGCACCATCCAGCAGCTGTTGTACCTTCTGACCTCCGGCGTTCAAAACGGCCCTGTCTGAAATACGGCGCCCCAGCGACAAATCGAGTCATCGATCGAGCCATGTCAGGTGAATATGAAGGCGAATTATCTTGCAAGTTATAGGATGGGTGTTTAAAGTTCATCAAGTATCGATTGATATGACGTGTGCTCGCTGTTGAGCATTTACTTATTACATGTCTCGTGCCATGTTATGTCGCATCATTTGCTGGCTGGTTCATGC